CTAGTACATAATTTAATAAGTTCTTGTTCATATTATATTGTGTGTATTATGTAGTTTAGGTAGCTTAGTTTGTATTAACTTTTAGTTTGTAATAGATTTTTTAGTTTGTATGTTTGTATTATATTGTTTTATTATGTAGTTTGAATTATATAATATTATATTTTTAATTTACTAGCTAAAGAAAATTGAACCTCTGGACTGTCTGGTTGTAATATATATTTGCAGGTTTTAGTTGTAAAACACAATCAACCCAATTTAAAAAAAAAACAGCAAATTTACGTCGCGTATTGGTATATGCGACGTAAATTTGCTGTTTTTTTTTTTTAATTTCTGAAAGTTTTTACGTCTGTTTAATGGTATATGCAACGCAAAATTACGTCGGGTCTTGATAACTGACGTAAATTTATGTCGGGCTAAAGGGTCCAACGTAAATTTACGTCTCCCGTTTTAACGTCAGTCTTAAATACGACGTAAAAAGCCCTAAATACCTGACGTAAAAGCCCCTTTTTGCACTAGTGTTGTTTCATTCACTTTGTATCAATATGTAAATAATCAATTATTTTTCATCAATATATCAAAAATCAATTAATTACTTTAAGCCAATATATTAAGAAAAAAAAATTACATTAGTGTGTCGTTTACTTTACATCAGGGTGTTTAGAATCAAAGTATATCAAGGTATCAATGACTTTACGTCAGAATGACATTAACTTTACTTCAATACTTCAAGAATCAATTACGTAATATTAATATGTTAAGAATCAAATATTTTATGTCAGTAGTCACTCTACCTTAAGGCATCAAGAATCAATTTACTTTATGATAGAGTGTCATTGACTTTTCATCAGTATAAGGAGATTAAATTATTTTACCTAATTGCATTTATGTCATTACATCAGGAATCAATTGCTTTATTTAATGTGTCATTCACTTAACATTAAGGTGTAATGAATTAATTTACTTTATGTCAATACATTAATAATCATTTGATCTATATCAATGTTTCATTGACTTCACATCAGGGCATCAATAATCAATTGCTTTATGTCAATGTATAAAAAATCAATTATTTTATTTTAGTGCATCAGATATCAATTAAGGGTATTCTTATTTACAATTCTCCAATTTAAATTATGGCATTATTGTTTATAATACCACAAATATAATACTTGTTTGCTAATTCCTTTTCTTCATTTTACACTATGTGTTCCTCTTCTTTTCATAGTTTGATCTTTTTAACAGAAAGATCACCAAAATCTGCAAATGATGCACATTTATATCCTTTAACCCAATGTTTTGTTCAATTAATTGACATATCACACTTGATGCATTAAAAAAACAAAATACATAGAAGGATTAATTTAAACCAACAATATTCAATTGGTGACCTTTATTTTTGATATCCATAAGTGGTAGGCAAAGAAATGTTACATTACCTAGTTGTGAAACTTACTAATCATGAATACATGAAATGCAAGATTCAACTCATTTGTAATCAGAAATATTTTAATTCAAGTTAAGCCTTTGCGAAGATCATCCAAGATAATAATAGTGTTCCAACTCTCAATGTTATCTCTTAGTTAGATAACCAAACATATTACCAATGTACACTAGACTTGTCACAACCCCTTTTTACCTCTTTACAAAACTACTATGGTTCCTTAAATAAATTAGACCTCATTAAGGATGTGTCATGTGCATCTTTTGGTAGTCCCTTTGATATTGGAGTCCCACAAGAAGAGGTTGGTTATTTAGTGAGGATGAATGTGATGCAAGACTTCAATATGATGATGAACAAAATGGTGACATGAAAGGCAACCAACAAGCTAAAAAAGGAGGAACATCTTGAACCACATCTAATTTTTTTGCACACATATGCACATAATTGATTTTCAAACAAATTCATGTAATCTTAAATGCAATCATGCATTTGACCATGTTATCATCCAATAAGTCCCTTAACACCCTACTTGAGGACATGATTTTTAAGACAAAAGATGATAAACATGTTTTAAATATGTACCATGTTAGAAAGTGATTATATTACAAGATAGAGAAATCGTCTCTAACGTTAATTGTAGCAAGATGTGTTCATATACAATGTGATTTGAGATGCAAAATCGCTTTAATTAAAAAAAAAAGCCAAAAATAAAATATTATAAGTATATAAAATGAACATTCTAGTTTTTCCCCTACAATGACACAAGATCATGTCAAACTTGATTATCAACAATTGGTAGAGAGTAACCCATCAATTTTGATTCCAATATTGATAGTACACGTAAAAAGTGCAAAGGGATATGTTGTCTCTTATCCAAAAGCATGGATGATAAAGCAAAATATCATTCAAAATTTACATAGCAATTGTAAACAATCTTACCATGATTATCCATGTTGTTAAATGTCATAAAAACATATCTTAATGAATTTTTTTGTTGAGGACATACAAGGCCACTATACAACAAACAAGGTGAGTTGGTTCATGATTATGTCTAATTTTATCAATATTTTGGACTTAAAACCTTGTATTGATAGGTTAAGTAAGATATTACAAGTTTGTTGTTCAACTTGATAGAATATTTCTATATGAAAAATATAAAGAGACACTCTTTATGATTGTGGCACAATATAACCACAAAATATTTCTAATGATTTTTGTCATCGTCGAAGGTGAAATAAGAGATACATGATATTTCATCTTACATTGTCTTAAAAAGTGTGTTTTCCTTCCATATAATTTTTACTTAATCTCAAACAAGCATGAGTCAATTAAAAATTCCTACTCAAGACAATTCAATGGTTGGATGTCAAAAAATTTATTGCATGTGTTTTACATTTGATACATCATAAAAACTTTAGTAGTCATTTTAAGAATGCAAAAAGAAAAATAAATTGTCAATATAGGTAAGTAAAATTTTTCAAGAACAATTAAATATATTTTCTTACATTTGAATAATTTTTAATTAGTGAATTATTATTGTTAAAAATTTATATTTAATACAATAACAAAGCTAACGATCAAAATAATTCATAAAGACTGGTTTAGTTAATATATGATAAGGATTGATGATTGATTAATATGTTTTACCAATATTTTTATTAATATATTTTGTATATAATTATATTATTTAATTATATATTATAACATAATTTTTGTAAAATAGAATGAAACCTTAAATCTTTAGTAAAGAAGATTAAGAATTTTGACTAAAGAACCTATCCAACAAATCTACCGCAAAAGGCACATTTCTGGTTTTGTCAATGTGCTCAACAAGACTAATTCCATGAAAATATGAAATTTGATCCAACTAATTTTGAGAAACCAACAAAGATAAGTTATGCTTTCATTTTTTACAATTTTTTAAATTTAATTCAGTTTTTTCTTATTTTTCTCTAGTTTTCTCTCTTACTTAATGCTTTAGACTTTTCAATTTCTTTTACTTTCAAATTCTTCATTTTAAATATTGTATGAATTATATGTTAAAGTTTATCAATTCACCATATTTTAGATTAATTTTATCTTCTTTTGTTTACTATATTATTGAAATTTACATTCTCTTACTGTTTTATTTAGATTTGGTTAGTTTTCTAATTAATTTGGTTAGTTTTCTAATTTAATTTTTTATTTCATTAATTAAGGTTTCATTCTTAAAAAAATTAATCTATCAAAATCAATGTAATTGAAATTATTCTGTTGAATTTTATTAGTTACATCATAAATTAATTATATAAATTTATCTTATTATTTTTGTTAAAAGTTAAAATCAATGTAATTAAAATTATTCCATTGAATTTTATTAATTACATCATAAATTAATTATATAGATTTATCTTATTGTTTTTGTTAAAAGTTGACTTATGTTTCTAAATTATTTAATAGGATGAATTAGTTCTTTTAAATCAATTTAATAGGATGAATTATTTAGAACTAGCTAATTAGATTAAGAATTATTAATTTTTTTCATAAGTCTATACTGTAATTATATTTAGTCTAAAAATTAATGATAAAATAAAATGATTAGTAAATAATTAACCACTAATTTTCATATTTGTTTTCCTAATTCTATTTCATTTTTTTATTGTTTGTTTATTAGATCTAAAGTTTTAGAACCAAAACTCTTAAAATACACCTTTTCTAAGTCTACTATAATTTAATAATGCTTCTTAAAAATATAATCTAGATATCTCTTAATAACTACATATTTTTTAATATTTAATTATTTAATTATATTTAGACAACAGAACTATATATATGATGAATGATAGAAACACTTAAGACAATAAACTTCATTCTTTCAAAAAACCAATATGCCAATAAGTTCAATTATCAAGTTAACATACACGAGATGTACAGATAAGTGATAATGGCGAAAAGGATGGTTTAAATATCACCATGTATATACGACAGTATCACACTACCATTGGTAAAATTAACCCCAAAACACGTCAATTTATGCAGATCAATTATCAAAGTAATTGATTTCCCTGAAACTAGATTCTTCTCAAATAGGATTAACAGGAACAGAAAAAGTCTGCGAGATTAAAAAGAACATGAATTCGTAATCATTGATGTTTTTTACCCGTTGTTGTGATTAACCTTTTTTTTAAATAATATATGAGAGAAAGAAGTACCAAATAAAATCAAAGTGATTTTTCGGCATGCAGGATTTTTTTTTTAATTTTTCTTATTTTCTTTTGATATATTAAAAGGTGGAGAGAAACACAACTTAAAGTTATAGCAAAACGCACACAGCCCCAAACAAAACAAAGCCTTATTCAAACCACATTGGTTTCATATCAATGAAACCAACAGGCTGCACAGCTCCTTACCCGTCCCACCCACTCGAACAAAAGTTCTACAAAATTCAGAAAACTACAATTCTTCTTCCACCATAGATGTGATCTACCACAAAAAATCCAAAAAAGAAAATAAAACAATCAAGCCGCTTCATAAACCAGTTCTGTCTTTCCCTCGCTCTCCATTGATCACCACAACAACCTTAGTACCTGTAGTGAGCAGGCTTGTATGGACCCTCAACAGGCACACTGATGTAATCAGCCTGGGCCTGGCTAAGCTTGGTGAGCTTAGCTCCAAGTTTGCCAAGGTGAAGTGCGGCCACCTTCTCATCAAGGTGCTTGGGCAAAACATAAACCTTCTTCTCATACTTGCCAGTGTTCTTCTCCTTCCACAGCTCAAGCTGAGCAATGACCTGGTTAGTGAAGGAGCACGACATCACAAAACTGGGGTGTCCTGTAGCACATCCCAAGTTCATCAAACGACCCTCGGCCAAGACAATGATGCCGGTGTTAGTCTCAGGGAAGACCCACCTGTCAGTCTGGGGCTTGATGGTGATGCGCTTCACACCAGGGTAGTTCTCCAGCCCCAGCATGTCAATCTCATTGTCAAAGTGACCAATATTGCAAACAATGGCATTGTTCTTCATTTTCCTCATGTGATCAACCATGATGATGTCCTTGTTACCGGTGGTGGTGACAAAGATATCAGCCTCAGATACAACATCCTCCAATGTCAGAACCTGAAGGCCTTCCATGAGAGCCTGGAGGGCACAGATGGGATCAATCTCAGTTACGATGACACGAGCCCCAGCCTGCTTCAATGCAGCAGCACAACCCTTGCCAACATCACCATATCCAGCCACAACAGCCACCTTCCCAGCAATCATAACATCAGTGGCCCTCATCAGACCATCAGGGAGAGAGTGACGGCACCCATACAAGTTGTCAAACTGTCACAAACCACAGATCAAAAGGTTAAACAAACAAAACACAATAAAAGCATAATCCAATTACAGTCAACTAGAAACCCAATGACTCACCTCTTTCTTTCAAAAAGAGTATCAATAAACAACTAATAAAAAGTACAGTGTTTGCTTGGGTGAACATTTCAAAAATTGATTCGAATTTGAAATGACATAATTTATATTTTGGATCTAAAAGCCAGTCAATAGTAAAATGCAGTGCACAAATTACCTAAAGTTGTTTCAAATAAATTCCTTGATGTAATCAAACATGTGAACATTAACCTAAATTCAGATTAGCTAATATTTCGGCGTGAATCTAGATGTTTGAATGTGAATCAAAACATAACCAATACAAATCAAAACTTTCTTCAGAACATCAGTCAAACAGTTGACAGATTCAAGACCACCTTTCACCAATGCCACAAAACCCATTAAAAAAGACAGATCTGAATCGACCCCAGCATTTAAACATGCAAAAATCAACAGATCTGAGGAAAAAAGTGCTGGAAGAAACGAAAAATACCTTGCTCTTGGTGACAGAGTCATTGACATTAATAGCAGGGAACAAAAGAGTCCCATTGGCCTGCATCTGATAGAGCCTCTTCACACCAGTGGTGGTCTCCTCAGAAACTCCAACAAGACGCCCCTTCATCTTGCGGTACCTAGAGGGGTCGCTTTTCAACCCATCTCTGATGATGGTAAGCACGATCTGGAACTCAGCGTTGTCGGTGGAAGCGGGGTCAGGGAGCTGACCGGTTTTCTCGAAGAGCTCCTCGGCCTTTACCCCCTCGTGGATGAGGAGGGTGGCGTCGCCGCCGTCGTCAACAATGAGGTCGGGGCCGCCGCCGGGGCCCCAGTCGAGGGCGCGCTCGGTGCACCACCAGTACTCCTGGAGGGTCTCACCCTTCCAGGCGAAGACGGCAGCGCTGTCGCGGGCGATGGCCGCGGCGGCATGGTCCTGCGTGGAGAAGATGTTGCATGAGCACCAGCGGACCTCGGCGCCGAGGGCTGTGAGAGTTTCAATGAGGACGGCGGTCTGGATGGTCATGTGGAGGGAGCCGGTGATGCGAGCCCCCTTGAAGGGCTGCGATGGGCCAAACTCAGCCCGGCACGCCATGAGGCCCGGCATCTCCACCTCGGCCAGCTCGATCTCCAAGCGTCCGAAGTCCGCCTGAGACAGGTCCTTGACCTTGTACTCACGGCCGCTCGTGGTTTTCTCCACCAACAAAGACATGGTTATGAGTCACACGCGAGGCGAGATGAAGAAGAGAGTTGAATGGGGTCGAGAGAGAGTGAGTGACGAAGGGAAACGAGAGAGTGTGGGTATAAATAAGGGTTGCGTGAGGGAGTTGGTGAGTGGACTACTCAGATCTGCTTTTTTTCTTCTTCTTCTTTTTTTTTTCTTCTTCCTCTTATGCAAACTTAGGTTAAAGTATCCTCTTTCAAACTTACGCCTTGCTTTCACTTCTCTTTCACGTTCATTTTCTTTTCCTTTCCCACCGTCTACTATATTTATTTTATGAAAGTTGAAAACTTTCCCCCAAAAACCTCTCCTTTGACAAAAATTATAAAACAAAATTCTTTCCAATTTATTTACTGACGTGTTGGGTAATAGATCTTTTTCTTTTGTTTAAATAATAAATAACATATAATAAATTAAAATTAATAAAATGATTTTATATGAGATTAACAATATATTCATAATTATATTTTAATTAATTCTTTTTTTAATATAATAAATAATTAAATATTATATAAGATAAAAAAATATTTTTCATTGTGATAAAATGTCTAATTTATTAAAATATTTAATACAATTTTTTTATTAATTTCATTTTTATAAAAAATTTTTTTATCTAAGTGTTTAATTCAATGACTTGCAACACGATAAATGAAGTTAGAGAGAGTTTTTATTTTTTATGATTTTTTTTCTTCTTTTCCTTAAAAATTGTAACCCTTTAAAGTTGAATTAGGATTGAAAAATATATTAGAAATAACTTAAAATTTATAATTCAATTTTTTACCTTATTTTATTTAGAGATTTCTCTTTCTATTTTTTTTATAATTGTATTTTTTTCATTTTTTATTTTATTTTATTTTTAAAGATTTTGATTTTTTTTTCATTTTTTTCTTCTTGATATTGATGTTGATGGGTTAAATATAAGATCCGTATTCTCCTATTATTCCTTTCATGATTGATGTTATAATTGATAAGATTTAACCTCAAAAATTATGTTTTATATAAATTTTGTTTGCACTTGAAATCTATCCGGTAAAATTCATGTCATACAAAAATATAACAATAATGAAAAAGAGGAATAAAATAATAAAATTATACTAAATTTACATATTATGGAAATATATGACAATTTAGTTATTTATAAATTAGGCATGGCAATAGGATGGGTCAAGGACAAATTTTGTCTTCTCACCCTGATTTTTTTAACCGTTCTCGTCCTCAATCTCTCTCATGGTTAAAAATTAAGTTGATGTCTTCTAGTCATTTACTTCTCTATATCACGATTATAGCCTGAGTCATGTGCAAGAAATAGGAGACACTAAAATACTAATATACTTTGTGAGTATGGTACTACAAGGTGCAAAAATTCATTATCAAAAGATTAAGCTTGTATCACTTAGTTGTTATGATTACTTGTTGTTTAAGCATTTTCCAAAACTTTGAAATTATTGTCAAAATTGATCTCCTCATCTAACCTTTATTACAAAAGTCTAAATTTATAGGAAGAATGGTGAATTGGGTAGTAGAACTTTGTAATATGAGATTATATATAAATCTTAAGAAACAATTAGTACAGGTCTGGACTAACTTCATAGCAAAATTAACACCTCCTCCTTTATTCAAGTTGCCCAAAAATGTCACCTGGATATTATATGTTGATGGAGTTTCAAAACTAAATGGAAATGGAGCAAGTGTTATTTGAGAAGGATTTAATGGTGTAATGATAAGACAATTTCTATGTTTCTTATTCAAAGCTAGTAACAATCAAGTTGAGGATAAAGTATTTTTGGTAGGAATGAAAGTAGGTTAAGAAATGGGAGTCAAGGTCCTTACCCTTAGAAGTGACTTACAATTGATTACTGGTCAAGTTTTAGGTAACTTCCAGGCTAGTGATCCACACACTGCACAATATTTTCCCAATGTAAAATCAATATCTATGATGTTAGATGGATCTAAGCTCACTCACGTTCCAAGAAATAATAATTATTGAGTTTATCTATTGTTTAAATTTACTAGTACAAAGAAACCAAAATATTATCAATCTATAATTCAAGAAATGTTGGAAATTCCAAGCATACCTACGGAGGTTAAAGATTTGTTTGAAAGATAAATAATAATGGAGTCCTCTATGTTTTATATCTCACATAATTAAAACTATATCTCACATAATTAAAACTTTGGACAATCATATGCATAACTCATTTCAATAGAAAGGCAACCTAATTCATTATGTTAAATGGGAGGTTATACCAACAAGGTTTTTATGCACCATTGTTGTAATGCTTAGCCAAAGAGGGGTCACCTTGGGTAATTAATGAAGTACAAAAAGAAATGTGTGGTAATCATATTGGTACACTACAAGAAAAATCGAAATTTCTAACGGACAAAATCCGTTAGTAAATAAGAAAATTCATCGGATAATACATATTACCGACGGATTATCGATGATCCTAAATCCGTCGAATTATATTTTTATTATTCATTTCCCCTCCTTTATATTTTTAATAGTTTGAATTACCATCAGATTAAGAGAATTGTCATCGACAGGATTCGAACCTCGTACCTTACGACTAAGCTACTAGAATTTCAAATAATAATTTACAAATATATTATATTTATATACAAATAAATATATATCAATATAAATATATAAATATAAAATATATAAATACAAATATATTTATATATTAATAAATTTATATATTTATATGTTGGATGTGGCACTCGAGGATAAAAATGTGTGTCGAGTGAGTTTTCAAAATTTGATGCCAAATTTGTGAGCAAGTCTTTTTATTCTCACACTCCCTCTTCCCCTAAAGTGTGATAATGATATAAAATAAATTTTTTCTTTATTTATTTTTCTTTATTTTTATTTTATTATTTTTATCTTTTTTCTCTTCTATTATTTAATTAAAATTCTTATATTAAAATATATTTTTCAATATTAAAATATAATTAAATATTTTTTTTTAAATTATTTAATTTAACAAAATTATTATAAAATAATTTAATTACGATTAAATTAAATTATTAAATAAAAAAATATTTAATTTTTTAATTAGGTGAATAACTATTAGAATATATTTAAAATTAAGTAATTATTATATAATTTTACCGACGAATATATCTATCTGAAACTAATTATTAATTTATCGATCGGATATATCCATCAAGTAAATAATTGTTAATTTATCGACGAATTTACCAGACAAATATATTCGTCGATAACTAATTGTTAGTTTATCGACGAATATATCCGATCGGTAAGACCAAATTCCACAACTACTTTAAATCCTTCGGTAATTATTCATTTTCCGATGACTACATATCCGTCGGTAATTAATGATTTTCTTGTAGTGGTAATAATGCTTTTGCTAGTAACATTCTTTGTGCTAACTATGTTTGGCCTTTGTATTAGTGAATTGTACTCGTTACGTGAAACAGTGTAATAAATGCCAAAAAAAATGCAAATTTACACTTAACTCCACCAAAACAGTTGAATTTGATTACATCATCATGACCTTTTTACATATGGGGAATCAACATCCTTAACCCTTTTTTTATAGCGACTCGACAACTTAAGTTCCTTAACGTGGTTATAGAATATTTCACAAAATTGGTTGAAGTTGAAGCTATAACAATTATTTTAGTAGAATGAGTAAATCAATTGTGTGTCATTTTGAAATCTCAAAAGTACTTATCTCTATTAATGACATAAAATTTGCTAGTCATCAACTTAAAGAGTTATGCTTGAAGTTAGACATTTAACAAATATGCACATCAATTGAACATTCTCAATCAAATGAACAAGCAGAAGAAGCCAACAAAGTAATCTTAAGAGGTGTAAAGCACAAACTTAGTAACTCCAAAACTTTATGAATAGAGGAATTACCACATATTTTATATGGTCCTTGTTGAGAATTCAAGTGTAAGTTTGAAGTCCCACATTGGATAGAAATGGAAAAGTTGAGTAACTTATAAGTGAGAAAGACTCATAACCTAATGCCTTAAAATTTTGAGTTGAGAGTGGTATCAATCCATTATATGGGTTAGACTCATGTCTCATTGATGTTGTTTCTCTCTTGTGAATCCCCCTCGAAATATTCAACAGTGGTATCAAAGCCGATGGTTTATCCGGTGATCGACTTAGTTGAGTATGATTATAGTAGGTGAAAGGTCCTTATGTTGAAAGTCTTCATGATAAGGGTTTTAGGCAAACAAGTCTCGTTAAGTTGAACGATAGTACAAATAAGGTCATTATTAGATACTCATGGCTAAGAAATGTTTCCGTTCGAGGGGGAGGTATACTAATGTGAAAGAATATCACACTTGAGGGGTAGATGTTAAGAATTCAAGTATGAGTTTGAAGTTTCACATTGAGTATAAATGGGAAAGTTGAGTAACTTATAAGTAAGAAAGACTCATAACCTAATGTCTTACGGTTTTGGGTTGAAGGTGGTGTCATATTTTCTTGTATAGTTGGCTCGGGTCCCATTTGTGAGGATTTCCCTATTGTTAGCCCCCTTAGAAAGACCCAATAGTCCTACCACATTACTCCACAATTCACAACTAAGACTCTATTTTATTTACTTTATAGATTTGATAACATGATTCCAATTGAAATTATAAAACCTTCAAGTCAAGTCTTTAGTTTTCCAAAGCAACTTTTGATTTAGACACCATAAAAAATATAAGAACGAGCTCAGTTACAAACCGAAGCGGTGAAATGTAAAATAGGTTTGAAATATACCACTAATGATGCACCTCTTATTTTTGTATTTCGAACTTGGTTTTAGAATATGTTGAGCCTAATCAAATCGTTGATGTCATCAAAACAATAAATCGACCCATATCAAATTGTTAATGTCATCAGAAAGGGAGCGTATCATCTTACAACCTTAGATGAGTCGTATTACTAAAACATTGAATGCTACAAAACTTAAATTTTATTTTAGTTGAATTTAGAAATCATGTAACTCATTGTAACTTTATTC